GTTGGCACGATAAAGAAAATGTTTTCTGAAACCTACATCACACCAGACCGCATCTCACGATTTCTAAATAAATAAATGTTAATGATTGTAGTTTATATCGATTAGTCGAAAGTACAACCGAGTTCCACCGAACTTTTTCTTCCATTTTGTTGGAGACATTTTGGACTAACTAGATGTCTGTAAGTATGGCGTTAATTATCTCTCGAGGATCCCTCAATGTAGAAATAGGTTTAAAAACTTAATTTATATTTAAATTAAAAGGGAATTTAAAAGAAAAATGAACTGGTTGTGAAAATATATTTTAGAAAACGTCAACAATTTATTAAAATAGAAAATAAAATGAAAACCTTGCCAACAACATAAATTGGAAAAAACTTAACAAAATAAAAATGACATTTTAAAATGAAATTGAGCTAGTTCTATTATGTCTATTCTAAATTTAAAGAATAAAATAGACTTAATCCAGTCTTTACATAAACGCAAAAAAATAAAAATAACAAAAACATTTTTTTGGTTGGAGGCAAATATTGAAGGTTCTCCTTTTTGCTTCTTCCGATACTTCTATTTTTCCTTTTTTTTATGTATTCGGCTTGCGTTTAATTTCTCTCCTCGAAAGCTCGATCCGATCTGCCGGTTCTCCTCGTTTGTATGCCTCTTACGGGCTGGCGGGTATTTTCAAATTTTATCGTCATAAAACAAGAAAAACAATGAACACTATCCACACCAAATAACCCCTTCATTCTATTAAAAAATAAATAAATTGTACGCTTCGCGAAATTAATTAGTGTTTTCTAAGCAGATATTTTAGATATATTTCTATATATCAAATTATATGATGTATTAATGTACATATTGAGACAAAATGAGGTATGGACTATTTTTTAAATTTGTTCCATATGTTTAATTTATTTAAATTGTTATCTAGTGTAGTACTTAATAATGTCTTCTTAAAAAAAAAACTTTTTTAAATATTTGTCATCAATTCGCTGAAGATTTCAGAAGCATGCTGCAGTAGAAGACTTCATAGCCACAGTAGACGAATGAACGTAAGAATAAAGTGTGATAAAATTTAGCCCAACGACCGATAAATTCGTTAATATACCGCCAGACAGATTAAGTAATTAGCAAAATATGTTGCCAAAAGCTCATATTCTCGTCGTGATAAACGCCGTACTTGTAGTATTGTCTTTATCTATAATAGTAGTTGCTGCTCTACAAATTTTCAATGAGAATAAAACTGGTCCATTTATGAATGGTACCCTATATACAATTTGTATCACCACACTGGTAGTAGGGTCGGTGTTGCTGTGCATCGCTCTTTCTGGAATGTACGGAGCTCTGAATAGAAATAATTTCCTCCTGAAAATTTACGCGCACATGCTGTACATCGTTCTAGTCTTACAACTCACCCTATGCATACTGTGTTTCATCATGTCTTCGACAGTTGGTAAAGATATGGAGAAAAAACTAGAGGCGAAATTTAGTACTTACGCCGATTTCAAAAAAGAAATTGACTATTTACAAGAATCATTTCTTTGCTGCAGCCCATATGGAGTAAAGTCATGGAAAATGGAAAACCTCCCACCGTCTTGCTGCGGTTTGAAAGAAGGCTTCTGCGTAATCGAAAAAGCATTCAAAGAGTCATGTTTCGAAAGGTTAAAACGTTTCATCGAGGCCAAATTTTTCTCAATTGGTTCTATTTGTGTTTTCATCCTGGGTCTCGAGGTAGCTTGTATAGTCATGGCTACCTGCTTACGAACGAAACATAATTAACAATCGTAAAATGGCGAATGCGAAATCCATTTTGATTCGTATTATATTTATTATAATCTATCATGATTCAATCTTTGTTTTATTTGTTTTATCTTATTTTTTTACATCAGGTGTAAATTAATTGATAACAGAATATGCTTTTAAGGTAAGATATTTCAAGGTATTTCAACTATGAGGTTATACGAACCCGGTGTTAAAAAAAACAGTAAGACGGATTTGAATGCAGCATCGCTGGATTCGAACCAAGGATCGTTACCTTAAAGTCATGAGCGCCTTTCCAAGCCCTTAACCCTTTCTGACCTAATATTGTCTTAGAGACGAACTTCAACAATTTGTTATAAGGTTAGTGGGAAATCCCGTGAGTTTAATGATAGAGAGTTTAGATTGGCGCCAAATAAATTAATGTTCTCAATAAAAGGGCAGAAACAGAGCAGGAGTAACACTGCGCCCACCCTAAACTCATGGGATTATCCTGCTAACGTTGGCGGTGTTATGAAGGAACTTCGGGTAAAAAAGGTTTAAATTATAAGCTCGATATGAAATTTTTTTATAATTTGGGGTTTTTACATTTCTATGTGGTTTTTTAATTTCTACTTCATTTTTTCATTAAATTTTTTGGAAGTTTCGGGAATTCAAACTCATCATCAGCAGCTAATTTTAAAGCCATAAGTTTAACAATGCGTATTAGTATTTTACAACAGTTTATTACAAAGTTTACCTTATTTTTTAAATTAATTTTTAATTTTTTATTATATATAGTTTTTAAATATATATTACCATTTTTGTATTATTTTTAAAGAATTTAAAAAAATGAAATTTACTTGCCGGATTTACTTACCAACTAGCTTTATTTACAAATTGGAAGAATGCTACTTTATTATGGCGTTTTTAAACGATTTTTTAAATTTAGGAATCTAATTATTTGGTTATAATAATAATGATATTTATGTAGTTTGTTCAATTGATTGTAATGGATGTAATAAAATTAATATAGGACAAAAGATAAAAACCGACTAAGAAACTATAGTAATGATATAAAAAGTTAAAAAACATAGCCTTATCACAACAAGTAATCATTTCAAAACAATACCAAATTTTAAAAAACCCACGTATTTTAAATTTTGAAAAAAATTAAAGACAGATCTTAGAATGCGTTTATATTACATAAAATGGTGAAAAAAATTCTCAAACAAAAAACTGTTTACAACGAAATGTCCTTATTGTATTCGGATATTTAAAAAAAAGAAAATTAAAATAATACATAAGTAAAAATCACATGAATAAAAAATAAAAAATCCAACATTTTAATAATGGCGCAATCTTTTAAAACACACTGACAGGCAAAAAATCCATCCAATTTTGTTTGTTTTCTCAATAAAAAAAATTTCCGTTTAATTTCTCTCATTTTTTTACCAATAAATATTTGTTTATGCTATGTTTTAAATTGGGAATATGAATTAGAACTAAACACTCTTAATGCTTAATCCAAAACAAGGATAAAGGATTTTTGTAATGTTTTCTTTTTACGGAATTTAAAATGTGTGGTGATTAGTGACCGTTAATCGATATTTATTTAGAAATCGTGAGATGCCGTCTGGTGTGATGTAGGTTTCAGAAAAACATTTTCTTTATCGTGCCAACGTTTCGACCTTTATTGAGGTCATCTTCAGGGCTCAAAGTGTTTGTTTTCTGTGTAATTATGCCATTCTTGCGTGTCGTGTCGAGACTGACCGAGAGTGAAGATAATCTCAATAAAGATCGAAACGTTGCCACGATAAAGAAAATATTTTTCTGAAACCTACATCACACCAGACCGCATCTCAGGAATTCAAAATGTTTGAATTTTGAAGCAATAAACTGTTTAGTTTTCATCTTTGTTATCTTAATTTCAATTTTGAAACATCAAAATGCCACTTAGTGCTGAGGATGTTGTTCTTGGTGTAGCACTTATTATTCATAAAAATTATTTTATTCAAAGAAGATTTACGCAGCGGATTTCGAGTATTAAATACTTATCATCAGGCAGAAGATACAAACGCGTCTCGTGATAGGAATTGTAGAGAGAGAAAGGGACAGAGAGAGAGAGAGTGATAAACAGAGCGAGAGCGAGAGAGAGAGAGAGAGAGAGGGAGAGAGAGAGAAAGAGAGAGAGAGAGTGAGAGTGAGAGAGAGAGAGAGAAACATTCGGAGAGAGAGCGAGAGAGTGTATGTGTGAGGGAGAGGGAGAGGAAGAGAGAGAGAGAGTGAGAGAGGGAGAGGGAGAGGGAGAGGAAGAGAGAGAAAATGAGAAAATGAGAGGGAGAGAGGGAGAGAGAGTAATAAACAGAGCGAGAGAGAGAGCGAGAGAGAGAGAGAGAGAGAGTGGGTGTGTGAGGGAGAGGGCGAGGGAGAGGGTGAGGGTGAGGAAGAGTGAGAGAGAAACAGACAGAGAGAGAGAGCGAAAGAGCGTGTGTCTGTGTGTGAGGGACAGGGAGTGCAATAAAAACTAAACTCGCACAAACTTTCATTCAATCATTGAGCAAACTTCAATACTAATCCTAAACGGTCAAAATTATTACGCAATTCGTTTCGATCTTCTAGTCCCCCCCTTAAGCGGCCCATGGACGATCAATATTATTGCACAATATTTTGGGTTGTGCAATGTAATTGATCATGTGTAGACGATATGGAAAGTTTGTGCAACACATTGCATGATTGACTTAAAGTTGAAAATGTATTGTACAACCTGGAAAATATTGCACCGTCTGTTGGCATTATTGAGCAATATCAGTCAGTTTGTGAAGTAACAACAAGTGGTAAAATATTGCACAAACTTCAATATCGCCTTCAAACTATTCAAGTTCGTTGGACAAACAAAATTTTGTACAATATTATTGAACATTAAGTCAAATTATTGTGCAATCTATATTGTACAATAATATTGACCGTCTATGGGCCGCTTTAGTTTAAATTCAACACATCTCCTCGTTTTCAGGAAACTAGTATAAATACGTAGACTTTTTTGTCGTTTATGTCGCTTATTTCGAGTTTCAAAACTCCGGAAAAAACGTAGCGATGTAGTAAGAAGGCAATATTCGCCCGTGTCTTATTTAAAAGCTCTATGCAAAAACGTTTTTTTTTTGTACCAGCGATTTCGGCTCGGCTTTGGTGTGAAAATTATTTTTCGTCAATTTAACACAGATGTATTGCATTTGAATATTAAGCTTATTAAATAAAATCAATGTAGCCAGATGTTTTACAATCTATTTAATTTTAATTTCTTGTTCTTATAGGTATTTTATATTTTGGCTATAGTAATTTTTTTAGTTGCTAAATAAAGGCGGAAAAACGAATATGTGCTGGCCGAAGAAAATATTTTTATTGATCGTTAACTCAATTTGCGGATTTTTGGGTTTGGCCGTGATCGGATTCGGCATAAAGTTTGCATACGACGGAAACACGCTGGCACCGTTCATCCAACAGTACAGCGCTCACATAAGCATAGCTCTCATAGTAACTGGGATTTTTACGTTCGGCATATCGTCCATGGGATGTATTGGAGTCTTTAAGGAAGACGGTGCGTTATTAAAAATGTACGGTTGTGCCCTGATCGTCATCGTCGTGATCCAACTCCTCATTGGTATAATCGCGTTCTTCCTAGTCTCGGTGGTCAGGAATCACTTAAAAAGTGAGCTCAACAATCAATTCGAGCACTATAGCGATCACAAAAACGAAATCGACAAAATTCAACAGCTTCTTCTCTGCTGTAGTGCTTTCGGCCTCAAGAAATGGGATATTGACAAACTGCCGCCTACGTGTTGCGGAAAGGTAACCGGCGAATGCCCAGCCGACGATGCTTTTACTAGTAACTGTTTTGACAAGATAGAAGCACAGGTAAAAACGAATTTACATACAACAGGCATTCTTTGTTTATGTTTCCTCGTCTTTGAAATTACTTGCATAGTGTTTGCATTCTGCATTTCCTCAAGCTACCATTCTGCGAAATAGCGAAACGTTGAAAATCTTATAAGCATAATAAACGTCAACGTCTTCTACAAGAGTTTTATTTTTATTTATTTTTTTTGGGGGGGGTTTACGCTGGCATATTACCCATGATGTTTTCTATTTTAATTTTACTGTCAAGCGGGATCGTGGGCACGGTCCCTCGGCGAAAAACCCCGCCCCCGACCACAACCCCCCGCAAGGGCATGAGACGAGGAAGACCCGTATGGTTTTTCGCTTTCGGCTATTTGTTCAGTGGTGTCCTTGGATGACGTGGATAAAAACCAATAACATCGAGATGATTTTGGAAAAGTCCACGTCCTCGAGGAAACTGCGGCTATCTCGCCCTGTCTCCCCCGTCCACCCCAACGGGATCGGCCGACCAGGACCAGGCCCCCGCCGCGCGCCCGCACTCACTCAGCTCAATCATTTCTAAATTTTAATGGTTGAAGATAATCAAAAAGTAACATTTATCGACTTTAGAAATTTATAGATTATGTTGAATGCTGGATTGTTGCTTATTAGAACAGATTCTAAGTTTATAGGTTTGGGAACGTTTGGGACTTTGCTAAGATTTTTTTAGCAGTTTATCTCTTTCATTTTCGTATTCTGGGTATTCTAAAATTATGTGGGAAGGATTTGAAGGGCAATCGCATGTGGGACAGTTCGGAGACGATGCCAACCCTTTTGAACAATGATTTAAAACATGGCGAATCAAACTCAACACCACAAAATTCAATAATATGAACTTCACTTCCACCTAACTACGCTTTTATGTACCTATGCATAATTATCTCCAATTTATTGAATTACCTCTCCCTACTTCCTTCTGTACACGTCATCCGCTACCTCGGGTTGAGTCAACTATCAAGAATTGGAATGACTTAAAAGGACAGGAGAATTGAACCAACGGGACTGATTACTTCAAATACTACTAAGGACTCTTACACAACTCGATACTCTAACCAACGTACTGCATAAAGCCATGGGGTTCAGCCAAACGTTCTAATTTCCGGAGAATACAGACCGTAAAATCACCAATCTTTGGGTCCTTTGTCAACGCCCTGTTTTATGCTTTCAACAACATCATACCAATTATAATTGTAAATAATAGACGTTACAAGATCCAGCTATCAAAATTTCCACGCTAACCTGCAATTCCACTCTAATCCTCAAGTACAACAGCTTTCCTCCCGTACTATTTTCAACAACCCCGTCGACATCAAAAAAGACCAGCTCCGTGACTTGCCCTCAGAAAGCGCAGAAAGTAATTATGGTTAATCAGTAATTTACGAGCGATATCACTGAATAGCTTCTCGAGTCGATTTATTATATTATCTCTGTGCGATGTATATAACTTATTGGGCCTCGCACCGATTATTGCCCAATTTAAAAGATTGCGATAATTTTTACAAATGTTTTCAGTAAATAACGTAATCCTGTCATACAGGAGGGCTTACTGTAATGTATTAGTTGAAATTGTTAAGCATGCAAGTCATCATACTCACCATTGGACTGCTTTTAAAAAAAATACTCAGATTACATAGGAGTTAGATGCCCATTGATCGTGTATTGTAACTTTAAAAAACAAAAAATGATAAAAGTATGAACTTTTTTAAAAAGTATTTAAGGTATTGGTTGAGATGAAAAAGTCAGTGTCACGAGCGGGATTCGAACCCACGATCTTCGGCCAGATACGCCGCTGCTCTACCACTTGAGCTATCGTGACCTCGATTCACTCGGACGCCAACTTCCCATCTCAAACGCACCTTTTGAATTTTCCCTCCTTTCTGTGAATTTATTTAAGTGAATTTAATGATTTAAAATGAAGTATACTTCACTAAAGCTCTCCGTGGCCATTTGTGCCGATCCACTCGGACACTAACTTCCCATCTCAACCCCACTTTTTTTTTTTTTTTTCCCCTATTTTGTTTTTAACTTATTAAATTCACTAGTTTCCATGGTCCACTTGACCAAACAATACCTTTCAATTATTTAATCTGGTATTGGTTGAAAAATGGCAAAAAGGAGGGAAAATTTAAAAGGTGAGGTTGAGATGGGAAGTTGGCGTCCGAGTGAATCGAGGTCACGATAGCTCAAGTGGTAGAGCAGCGGCGTATTTACCTGAAGGTCGTGGGTTCGAATACACACTGACTTTTTTATCCCAACCAAAACCTTAATTAAAAATTAATTAATTGAAAAGAATTAATTATTAAGTTCGTGGGTTCGAATCCCGCTCGTGACACTGACTTTTTTATCTCAACCAATACCTTAAATACTGATTACTTTAAAGGTATTATTTGGTCAAGCGGGCCACGAAACTAGTGAATTTTTTTAAAAAGATTTGTTGGTAATAGAAAAATAATTAACTTTGTTATACTCCCTCCAATAGTGAATTTTACTTAGGGGTAATTTTTTTTAAATCTCCATTTATTATTATTTTAGAGGATGAAAGCTTTTACAAAAACGTACACTTTCTTTTTTTATTTCAACATTTTCGATTTTAAATTGCATTAAATTTCCTCTTGAGATCGCTTGACGATTGTTTTCGAGTTGTAATATAGCGGTTTTCAATAAATGGCTCCTCGTTCATAACAGTATCGATACGTGACTCACTGTTTTCTGGGCGCCCAGTATTATCATTTATCACATATCCAAAATTAACGATTAAACAATGCCTCAGAAAAGTTAAAATTACAGTTTCCGAAACAAATTAAACAACTTTCTACTGTACATGCGATTTTACCCGTGAAAATTGTCTCTAACAGATATCCAGGTTGAGATAAAAATATCAGCTAACACAACCGATTACCGAATAAATAAAGAACTGTTTGATTTTTGTTATTCTAACAACTTTTAAAACTAGTCTGGAACTGTTATCTCAGATGGGTCCCAGGTCAATTGGTAATTCGGGCAACGAGGCAGATGGCATACTAGCAAAAAAACCTGGGAGAAACACAATGATGATATAAATAATAGCAACATTACAAAACAACTGGAATGTTTGGGTAACTGAAGAAAACAACAAATACTGGGATCATTTGTCAGGCATAAATCAAACGAAAAGACTTGTCGCAAAAGCAATCATAGAAAAATAAGTTCCTTGTCAAAAAACAAACATCCTAACAGTATATTTACAAAACACGTTCCTTAAAATAGCACTTAAAAATAGGATAATCTACAAATGACCAATGCCGACTATGTTTGGAGGAAACAACTAATAATAAGTAAACGGTTGCTAGGAAAGACATTTGTAGGCAGATGTTCCCATCTTTACTCATAGGTGTTGAGACCCATGAGGATCTTTAACGTCCGGGCTTATCTCCAGGGGACTTCTCAGACGCCTAGTGTTCTCGAAAGAACACCAGGAAGATTTTACATGCATGGACTTGTCACATCCCTTGGCTAGCGAGGTGGTGCAATACTAACCAAGTTCAGAAGTGCCTAAAAAATCACATCCATACATGTGCCTTAAAAAAAGTCAGTTTTGTGGTTTCCAGCAGCCTTTTAGCCATGCCTTTCACCACCCCGGGAGAGATACAGAAGGCTCTCTATCTCCAGCTCCGGTTGGCCGGTACCCTCCAGCTAAGGTACAATTTGTTTACAAACCACGACCACCACGAGTCCAACCTCAATTAGAGGAGCCACTTGGATACTCCACTCGTGGTTCAGTATTATTGTAAGGTGGGACTGATCGCCCACCCGGGAAGTCATAGAACTCCCTACTGATGCACTCGTTTCCCTGATGGGTACGGGTTCGGTAACCCAGCCATTTGTGGACAATGAAATCCTCAATAACACATCCTTGAGATTATGTACTTAAAGTACAGTAATTAAAGATAGGAAAATCTTCCAGAAAGATCAGTCACAGCGTTCGGCAGGTAAAGTTAGAGTTAAGACGAAACTCCTGGTTATAAACCAAAGCGCTCAGCGTTGTGGTTCTCAATCAAATTTGGATATTTAGCCGTACTTCAGAAATTTCAGCGATTTCATTATAAAAAAATTATTTGCCTAGCCATAACCTAAAATTTCAATGCTGTAACTGCCATATCATCTCTATTTTCATTACTCCCTCCTTTCATATAAAGTACTGCTTCGTGTCCTTCCAGATTTAGTTTTCCCAGAATTATTACGCTTCGTGTAATAGAAAGGGAAAAATCTTTTGGCTCAAAGTGTGATATCACAGTCCCAAAAACAGTCTTGTCATTTCCGAGGAACCTCAGGACATTGGTGTTCATTGAGTTCTGTACTAACACCTCTCTCATCTAAGCTAAGTACTATCGATACAAATAAAATATGAATGGAAAAATATGATTGATAGGTAAGAATATAATGCTCTATATATAATATATATCGGGTTGTCCGGAAAATAATGCAGGATTTTAAGTTTTCATTAAAAAAAATCTATATAAAATATTCTGTTTACGTTTACAGGATTACTCATTTGTATGAATGCCAACACTTATTAATCCTCTTCCAAATGATATTGTTTGTTTACCTCTGTAGCATTCCGCTACTTGGAAATAATTCAGTCATCCTTATAATGTCAAAGCGAGAATTTCGTACGATTTTCTTTTACGAGTTTAAACTCGGCCGAAGCGGAGCCCAAACGGCTAGAAACATTAACCAAGTCTGGGGCGAGGGTTGTGTTAATGAGTGCACTGTGCAAAGGTGGTTTAAAAAATTTCGGGAGGGAGATTTCAGCCTTGAAGATGAAGAAGGTCGTGGAAGGCCTTCCTCTCTTAATGATGATGTTCTGCGATCAGTGGTGGAAGAAAACCCCAAAACAACTGTTCGAGAACTTGCAGAGCAACTCAAAGTCAGTAAAACGACCGTCGCTGACCACCTCAAGGCGATTGGAAAAGTGAAAAAACTCGAAAATTGGGTTCCACACTCATTAAACGATCGCCAAAAAATCAGCGCTTTGATGTTTGTGCATCACTTCTTTGTCGAAACAAAAATGACCCATTTCTGGCCAGAATTGTTACATGTGACGAAAAGTGGATTCTCTACGATAACACTAGACGTTCTGGACAGTGGCTCGACAAAGGAGAAGCT